GTAGCGTGAGGATCCATGACGCGTCACACAGCGGTCCCGGCTGGCTGCACGACGTAGCTGGGCTGGGACTTTATGGCTCCCCGACTGTGTGGCACCTCACACCTGACGCCCTCTCCTCCCTCACAGTGGCTGGGATGGAGGGCTGAGGGCAGTCAGGGCAAAAGCTCATGGGCCCTTACCTCAGCCAGTGAAAGCTAGACGTGGTGGCGTACCCCTGCCTGACAGCCGCATACATAGGATCAAATTCTAAGCTGGGCAGGGCTCGTGGGGTAGAGTGCCTGCCTAGCAAATGTGTGAGCCTGCGTTCAAATCCCAGTACTGGCCCAAACAAAAGTTCAGACTTCCATCCTGTGCTGGGCCTCGCTGCTGGCCGGCGGCTGCAGTCCCAGCTCCGCCAGCCACGAGCTCCTGGGTGGACAGCCAGCGCTGCCGCCGTGCTGCTCAGCTGCCGCGTCTGGTAGGCTGGGCACACCCAGTGTGTTTTGGCTCGAAGGGTGCAGCCCCCTTGTTCACTGGGCGTCTGTACTTGGCTCTGGATTTGAGAGTAAGAGCGCGCAAGGGGTCCACATTACCGCTGTCTCCAGTGCTTCTGGAAGCTCGGGTGGCGGCCAGCCCCCTCTCCCCCGAGATCTCTGGGCATGTCCTTGCCCAGCCCAGGCCCACTGTTCATTCTCAGCAGCATAATGAAAAAGAAATCGAAGGACTAGACATGGCACACATGAGACTGAAGCAAGAGAATGCTAAGTTTGAGGCCAGTTTGTAGGGGAGGGGAAGAGGGGAGGGGTTGATTCCAACATTACTCAGCCTTGGCCCAGCCTATGGGGAGAGGGCAGGACGCAAGCCGACTTCATTAGGTGTGTAGGGGTCAGCGGGTTTAAATCCGAATCACTTTAACATAGGGACTGCCCTGGCTACTGGCACCTGCCTGGGAAGTTAGAGCAGGGACCAAGGGTTCTCCACTCCCACCCCGGAAGTGGAGAGAGGCTCTTGGCTGTGGGGGGTGTGCAGACACCTCTGTGTCCAGCAGGCGCCACTCCAGCACATGGCACCAGCAGTCCTGGAGGGAGGCGAACCTGCAGCGCTGCTGTCTGAGGGACCGAGGACGAGCTGTGAGCTCCGGGGATGGGTCCCTGGTGGGGCGGTGCTCCTGCCCACGTGGAGCTGCTGGGTGCCGTCCTCACAGCCAGGTCCAGAGGGCCTGCAGCCTGCTCCTCGGGGATCCATTAAGCTTGCCTAGTTCGTCCAAACAACACCGCATCCAGATTTTAGGGCCCACCATGAGACCACCTGTTTAAGCTTCATGATCCTGTGTATTTTTCAGTTTATGTGAATTACTCTTTTTTGTGGATTGTTTTATGCCAGTACTAGGACTTGAACTCAAGACCTCATAGGTTTTTTTGTTGTTATTTTGGGGTTTTTTTTGCCAGTACTGGAGCTTGAACTCAGGGCCTGGGCGCTGTCCCTAAGCTTCTTTAGCTTAAGGCTAGCACTCTACCACTTGAGCCACAGCACCACTTCTGGCTTTTTCTGTGTATGTGGTACTGAGGAATCGAATCCAGGGCTTCCTGTGTGCTAGGCAAGCACTCTACCACTGAGCCACATACCTAGCCCACGACCTCATTCTTTTGCTTGACCTTTTCATCTGTGGCTAGTGCTCCTCCACTGAGCCATTCCTCTGGTTCTAGCTTTTTGCTGGTTAATAGGAGATAGGAGTCTTGGATTTGTCTGCCTGGGTTGGCTTCCAACTGCGATCCTCAAATCTCAGCTTTTTTTGTTTTTTGTCGTGGGGCCTGAACTCTGGGCCTGGGCGCTGCCCCTCAGCTCTTCAGCTCAAAGCTAGCCCTCTACCACTTGAGCCACAGCGCCACGTCTGGTTTTCTGAGTGGTTCATTGGAACTAAGAGTCTCATGGCCATTCCTGCTCGGGCTGGCTTTGAACCGGGATCCTCAGATCTCAGCCTCTTGAGCAGCTGGGATGATAGGCGTGGGCACTGGCATCCAGCTAGGCCTCAGCTTCTTAATAGGCAGGATTGTAGGTGTGAGCTGCTGGCCCCCTGTCCTCATGTGGGTTTGTAAGACTCAGTGTTTAGGAGGTGAACTGGCATTGGTGCTGCTCTAACAGTGGCAGACCCAGGTCTGCTTGTTTGTTTGGAGACAGTTTTGCTATGGAGCCCAGAGTGGCCTCTAGTTCATGATTCCCCAACCCCAGTATTTTCCAACCTAAGATTACAGGTGTGCACCACCAACAAAAATTGTTTTTAAAAACTGGGCACTGGTGGTTTATACCTGTAATCCTAGCTACTCAGGAAGCTGAGATCTGATAATCCAGGTTTGAAGCCAGTGTGGGCAGGAAAGTCTGTGAGACTCTTATCTCCAATAAACCACCAGAAAACTGGAAGTGGCGCTGTGGCTCATGTGCTAGAGCGCTGGCCTTGAGCTGAAGAGCTGAGGGCTAGTGCCCAGGCCCAGAGTTGAAGGCCAAGACCAACACGGGAAAAAAAAAGAAGGTAATGTAAAAGCTCATTTTAGGTCTGATAGCTTGAAACCCGGGAAGCATGGGTTGAGCAGGGTGTCTGCGGTGGAAGAGGTAGCAGAGCAAGGAAGGGGACACTTGGCTGTCTGGTGTGGGCTGAGGCAGACCGCAAAGCAGACCACGGAAGAGCCTGGATCCCCCCTTGTGTCTGTCTGTCTGTTTTTGGCTGGTACTGGGCTTAGACTCAGGGCCTTGAGCTCTCACTTGGCTTTTTTTTCACTCACAGTGGACCCTTTAACCTTTGCGTCATGCCTCCAGTTCTGGCTTTTTACTAGTTATTTGAAGATCGGAGGTTTAGATCTGTCTGCCTCGGCTGGCTTTGAACCTTGGTCCTTGGATCTCAGCCTCCTGAGTCACTAGAATGGTAGATGTGAGCTGCTGCTGTCTGGCTACAGGTCATCCCTCTTGGGAGATGTCAGGTGCAGACGGCTTGTGTTACTTTTCTCCTGCGGTGAGTGCCCTGCTCGCCATGTGCCCCTCACCCTCACTACCTGGGTACCCAGCATGAGCACCTGGGCAGGCCCAGCCTCCCTGGGATCCTGGCAGCCCTGAGACACTGGGGCTGGCCACAGGAGCTGGGCATAAGGGCAGGGGCAGGTTCTGGCAAGGTGGCGAGGGGCGTCAGCAATGCACTGTGTCCGGCAGTCCAGAAGTGGAGATGGTTTAAATGTTCAGACATAGTCTTCTAATACTTTACGCTAGACCCAGACGTTGAGAGGAAGTGTGGTTAAAACCATGGTTTGAATAATACGAGTTTTGCTGGGCGCTGGTGGCTCACGCCTGTAATCTTAGCTACTCAGGAGGCTGAGATCTGAGGATCGCGGTTCAAAGCCAGCCTGGGCAGGAGAGACCGTGAGACTCCTATCTCCAA